AATACATATTAGGAAATAATGTAATGATGAAGCATTTGCATTTGGTGGGAAATAATGTAATGATGGAGCATTATACAGACAAATATGAGAGTGCACATAATTGGAAGAGAATGAAACAGCCAAAGGTTTCCTTTTTACAAATGTTCGATATGGTTGCCCTTTGTTAACCACTCATAGCTCTTATACTTGTCTGTATAACCACTCATGACAAATATCCTTTTCAACCAACTCATTTGTATCCACTTTGTATTTAGTTAAGTTTACGTGTAGTCCTATCGATGATGTCCCTGTCTTTACATAAGCACATATATTCCAGCAATGGTCTTCATAGTGCATATTTGGGAAATACCACTCTAACATTTCCATACATGAATTCTCAGTTACGTACATAACATAAGTTGAAGAAGTAGAAAAAACCCATTCACAGTATAAAGTAAAACTGCATGTAAACTTATTTTGGATGAGCTGATGAAAAGTCTTATAGCTTAAATTCAGTCATCAATCTTTGAACATCATAACAGTAAAAATTTGCTCAAACCTATTAATTTTCTTTTACTCCAATGGATACTATGCAGCATTATTACAAACGAAATGTAATAATTTACTATAATTTGCTTGTGAAAGATATCGCAATGTAATTTGAAAAGCCATATAAATTTAGATATGAAACTTTTCTTTCTTCCTTAACTCCATTTGATGAACATTCATAGGCGATCAACGTAACTGACTCTGTAGACAAAACTGCGACTCAGCGGCCATTATAATAAAGGAGAAGATTTATTTCAACTTAAAATTCAAAATTGAAGAAGGAAAAAATATACCTTATATTCGCAATTCAAAGCAAAATTGGATTAAGCTTCCAAAAATCTTTCATAAGCTAGAAATGTATCCATGATTAAAAAGAAATTTAAAACATATGACATCTTTTTGAAAAAAGCTTAAGGCCTAGGCCACTTCAGCATCTTAAGAGCAAAATGAACATGTTCGCGGTGGTTTCCAACAATGCTGAAAGAAATGAATGGCAAAAGCATGTCTCGTACTTCCGACATCACGGCCTACAGTTTAGAAAGTTTTGAGAAAGTACCTAAATTCATTCCCTACAAACTGTAGTTATTGCAGCACTTAAATGAGTTTGATAAAAAAAAATAAGGTTTCTGTAATTCTGCTGAGCCAGCTTATACACTATGATCCCTAATGTAACCGCTAGCAGTTTTGAAAATTTGCTTCATATCCTCAATCCAAAATTCCTTAAAGTTTGATTGCGATATATTTTGTTATGCATTGCTTAATAAATTATTGAAATTGTATACTTCTTTCGTAATATGTAAATCCTATATACTATAGTGATTATATAAGTAAATAAATTACAGATTTGTAACTGACTCATGATTAACAATTTAGCTTTAACATCAGAGTTTCTTCTTCTGAATAAATGGTTGGTTTGGTTTGGTTTATGTGATTACGGCAAAGCCTCGAGGGCTAAAAGGGGGGATGCCTTCGTGGAGGACATTTTAAGGAAAACTGGCTCGTATAGATGTTACAGTTGGAAAAACCATAAAAACCAATGCAGCCCGCCTGTTCGCGGGATTCGAGCCTCAGACGAAATTATCAGTGTTCAGCGAATTTACCGTTCGGCGGCTGGTGGGCGCTCAATAAATAATATTGCCTTGTAAAAACAGATTATTTCTCGATATGAATAAGCGAAAGAGATATTTAAGACTAATTTAGTAATAAAGGGAATTGTCTGAATTACGCAGAATACCTCTCAATTTCATTAGGAGAATTTGAAGCGAAAGATTGGAAATAGTTAAAATTTTCACCATTTTTATTGCAGTATTATTATAGAGATATTTATAATTATTATAAAGATAACATATACTAAGTACCACGGTAAAGAGTAATATTTGGAATCAAGAGAGAAGAGAAATACGCCAAAGTTAGGCATAAGAAAAACCTTATATTTGGAGAAGAGTTTAATCAAAATTCTATCAGTTTCGAAGAACAAGAGGCAGTCTATTCGTTAACAGCAGAAAAGGTCTTCAGTTTGCGCAATTTGCTACAATTTGAGCAGAATTTCGTTTCTTTTTACAAAGAGAAATCTGTGCCAGTTCGCTCTCGAAATCAATAGAACTTTCATTACAATTCTACACCAAATACAAGGATGCTGTTTTGCCTACTTTTAAACAGTAGGAAGTAAATTGCAAAATTTGCAATACATTTGTATTTATGTTGGTATCAAACAACAGATTCATAAGCTGCACACTTTTTACTCCACAATTAAATACAAGTAAAACTGATATATATAAGATATAAGTATAGCAATTATTTCTTTTTAAATAAATTAAATGTTAAAAAGAAAAACTACACTGGTATTAAGCATATTTTACAAATTTTTGGAATGGGTTCAGTTAAATTAGATTTGATTCATTAAAAATGAAAAGAACTAAATACAGTTTTAAAGAAGAGAATATTTACATAGTTTACATTCGAACAATTAGAGAATAACCTCAAAAAAAGTATAAGTTATTTGGAAATCAATTCAAAGCTACAGATTGCAATATGATTTAAAATAAATACAAAGTGATTGACAGTGTAACAAAGTTAAAATGTAAAAGCTTAAAGAAAAAAAGATTTTAAACAATGTGAGTAATTCTATAGAGGTATTATAGAACATCTATTGCTATGCTACATTGGAAGCAACAATTTCATACAAAATGATTCATCTGTTTAGTAAGGGAAGAAAACGCTCATTCAAAATTGTAAAAATAAATTTGTTGGAGCATTAAGTCAATTTTTATTTTAATGATCATAAAGTCCATCAAGTTTTTCAACACTGAATACAAGCGGACTGAAAGTTTCAACTCCATGGCTTTTACTTTGTGAGTACCTTAAAAAAAAAAAAAAAAAAAACACTTCGATGTGTATACTCTCAAAAGTGATGTGAAATCCTGTTAAAGAGAATTTAAATACTCCACACGCTCATTTTCAATTTTACCAAAAAAATAAATAAATAAATAAATAAATAATAAAAAAATACATAAATAAAGTACACCTTTTTAATCTATATTTTAATTTGTTTAACTTTTAATTTTTAATTTGTTAATAACTGTAGATATTTTAAGGACTGTTAGCATACCACATAATTAAACTCTGTCTATTTAGCGTTGTTGTTGTTGCTATTGCTCACTTGTCTGACCTATAGTCAGCCTAAGCAAACGAAATTGCTCGTGGCAAGGAGCGCAAGTTTACGTCTGTCGTTGGCAACAGCCCTGAGCATCTTACAAGTGACAGTGCGATTTAGCTCAGTTCCGCCCCCCCCCAGTTTTGATGGAAATCACCCCGGGGACGGGTCTGAGGATCTCTCAACCATAGATTCTCTTTCCGTTGCATGGCCATAACTTTGGCCTTAGGTCGGAGGTTCATGCTACGGCGTTTCGGTCTCGCACCCCTCTTCTCCTAACTACAACCTCTCGAGAGGACTTTCGGGCTCTCCGATATTTAGAGTGCCCCCATGCCGCACGAACACTATACATTTACAAGCATCCATGCCTTTTCCGGCACTCGAAGCTGGGCCCTTCGGCACGGCAATCAGCGACGCTAACCACTATACAGGTTGGGCGACCTGTCTATTTATAATTTACATGTCATTTTCTAAAAATATGAGGCGTTTTATTTTCAGTAGCATAAGCATATTATATTGTATCTTAATATCAGTTATATAGTCTTCTTATTTATAAAATACGGAAAAATTAATTTTTTATGATTTGTGAATAATCAAAATGTACAAATGATAACTTCTATTTGAGATACGAGAAGCAATTTTCTGTCAAAATACCGATTTTCTTGATAACTGAAATTTGAAACTTACAGTAACTGTCAGTAGCTGTTATTACACTTTGTTATAAGCTCAAACATCTTAAGTAGCTGTAGAGTCTGTTAGACTTTATTTAGCAGGAAACACGAAAAAGCAGCGAATCTCTCTCCAGGATTCAAACTACAAAGCTTCCAAATGATTGCAAGACGAGCTACCATTTGTACCATAAAGGCACGTAGTGGGAAAGGCGAAAATTCCTTACCATCTCCCCTACTTAAAGGGTGACGGGGAAAGAGACCCATTCACCAAACCCAGGTGGAAATGAATTATCGTCTACTAATATTTAGCAGCGCAATTAAATTTTTCTCAACATGAAACGTGAGAAGTTAGTTTTGCTCTCTTTGGGAATCGAACTCCGGATGTTCCGATTGCCACTCGGACGTGTACCAGTTACACGACGAACTCCTAAGGCAGCATTCGCCCAAGATGGAGCATGCAATAATATAATATAGCGATGGTGTATATTATGGAGAGTTTGGCATCATATCACGGCAAAGAAATTTTCAAGAAGCATGATACCACAATTATCTTCATTTTTAAACCTAATTTCGCTGAATTTCAGCTTCATAACGAAGAATTTACACTAAATGTTAATTTAAGCTTTATATGCCAAAAATGGGATGATTTTAATGTTCCCTACAAAAATATTGCTGAGAAACGTGGCCTTCATTATGAAGGCTGCCGACCTTTAAGAAAATTTATGTGATATTATGACATTGGTTTTATCAAGCAAGCTACGTGCACATCCGAAGTCTTGTTACTTACAACAAAACAGCTAAATATTTCATTTTTTATTTTTGCCAACATCCCCCACACAGATTTCTCAGGACACACCAAGATATTCTCCCACTTTCTCTACGATCGAGGTCGAACCTCTGAGAGAGGTGGGTCGATCTGAAGAAAGTAAATAAAACACAAAGAAGAAAAAGGAATAATGAACCAGTGACCAAAAGATAACGCATACTTGGGACCACTTCCCTCCCGCCACCAACTCTTTTGTTTCTAGCATTGTGTCCAACAGAAGAAAGTTTCATAATATCAGTGACATTTCAGGGACATCGATGAGGATCGGATTCATTCGGAATTCCATTGCAGGAGAAGACAGATAATTAAAAAAAGAAAAAAAGAAAAAAAAAAAAAAAAGAAATGATAATGGAAATCAGATCACGGATTTGACTATATAAACTCTGGGTGGAGCTTTGAGAATCCACAGTTCCTCACATAACTTTCTGTTTGAAGGTGCATTTTTCTTTCATCCCTCAGGTTTCAGCATGTTCGTGGTAAGTTAATTTTCAGAATAAAATTTTTATGCATTTAAATTAATAACCTAATGTAAGTATAAGGAACTATGCGCACATAAAATAATAGTTGATAAAAATTATGTAAATATTTCAAATTAAAAAAAATTGTATTTTTACTTCCTTGCACGAAGTGAAGGAAGTATTGTAATCACGAAGAATTCCGGGTACCATATTTCAACGAAACTATCCATTTTGATAGTTATCGAATGCAATTTAATGATGTATTTGCTTGATATTTGTACTTAAAGACAGAATGAACGATTCTTTCTCCCCAAACGAATTATAAAACTGATTTAAAATGGATTCAGAGGAGATTCTTTTTTCATGGCGTTTGTACGTACGTATTTCGCATAACTCAAAAACGAATAAGAGCATTGAAATTTTGTATATAGGACTGCTGTAACATGTAGATGTGTACTCCTCTTTTGGTTGCAATCGACCACACCAAACATACATAAATATATGTATATATATATATATATCCACTCTGTTGCTCGCCTCACTGAGATCAGTTTCTTTCTTCTTATAAGTTTGTAAATTTTGCATTTTTTGCTTTAAAATGATTCAATTAGGTTTTTCTTGTCTTCCAGTGAAGGTTTTTATGCCTTTAGTTAACTGCACGTTATAATTGTAGAAATGTCAACAATTTAAATGTTGTTTAAGTGCGGCTAAACCTAATTTTTTGCCATAGCAGCCATATGTGTTTACACTTGAAACTTAGGAGAATAGTGGATTTGTTGCCAATCTAGAAAATTAAGCTTCGCAACAACAAAACAACGTCTTCTTGTATTATTGCGAATTAAATTATGCTTAATTCATTTTGAAATTATCATTTAAGTTATTAAATTCTGCCATATATTGACTCAGCATAGCGTCCACAAGAAATTCAGTTTATACTTCTTCAGTGTCTTTTTGCCGAGTGAGAACAAAAGCAAACTTTCAGTTTTTTTTTCCACTAAAAACTCTGCCTTCTTGCCTGTTGACCAAATTGCTTCTTTTTGCGTAGAAACTGTAATTTTAATTGTAAAAATTTTTTAAATTGTTTTAACTGTATTTGGTGTTTTATATTTTTCTATATATTTCAATTTTTAATATAGATTTTTTGAGTTTTTATGTATTTTTGCCTTGTATCGAAGTGAGAAGGGAATTATTTGAATGAGAAATATATCTCTAATGATATTCGAGGAAATAAGTTTAAATGAAATGCAGAAAAAAATGCGTACAATTAAATATTTCGTACAAGTAGGTCATGTAGAGTACACATCAGATTTGTTCGTCTTGAAAACAAAAGTTTTAGCTTAAGGTATCGGACTACGTTTGACTGCCGAATTTTAGAAAATACTCTACAAATGAATCTATTATTAGTGTTATTTAGCAGAATACTACTTAAAATTACAGAAAGAGGTAATAAACATGTTATCAAAGTAAAAGTTTTGTTTTTTTTTTCCTTACATTTTTAGTTAAAATTGTGTGAAATTTCAGAATTACTAGATATGTTACAGCAGAAATTACTAGATATGTTGTCAATATTTTATTTTTATTTCTGCCACTAATATTTATTAAGATATAAGGAATTGAATAAACTAAAATCTAAGTGATAAAATAAAATATCTGTTAAATATTCCTGTTTGAGTGCATGTATTAGCTATTTTTCAGAAATTTTCTCCCTTTTCATTTACAAAAGAATATTAGATAAGTGCATAAACTTAAATGTTTAATATATTTAATTCATAGTAATTTCCTAGAATATTAGTGGAAATTTTCATAAAATTGCTTTAAGTTAACTTTTTTTTCATAACAGAAAAGTTCACAAAAATCAAGATTTTCAAAAAATAGGTATAATGTAATACAAACACAAACAGAAGGGAAAAAATTGCCACTTATGAAAATTAAATTGCAAAACTAATCATGTTCCCAGGCACTTAATAACAAAAAGAAAGGTTCGAAACCATCTTTTGAACAAAAAGTATTCAAAAGAAAAATTCTTTTCTTAAAGTTATTTAGAGGAGTTTGTGTACCTTCTGACATCAACTTCCGGGTTCTTAAAAAGAAATTTTCGGCTTACGGCGTATGACAAGAACAGCTATAATTCTGTTTCTAACGACTAAAGAGGTTAAATTTCGTTTAATATATTTATTAAAAAATACATAAATAATAATAATAATCCAAAGGAAAAATTCAAATTTATATTTATTTTCTATATGAAATCTGAAGGTTGGTACATGTGTGTATTTAATTATGGCAAAGCACACGAGGGCTATCTGCCTAAGGGGAGGGATGCCTTTCGTGGAGAACTTTCTAAGGGAAACTGGCTCGTATACACGTTACACATGGGGAAAACCACGAAAACGCCCATGCAGCCAGCGCGTTCGCGGGATTCGGACCTCGGACCGAACTACCAGTGTTCAGCGACTTTACCGCTCGGCCGCTGGTGGGCCGGTTGGTACATGAAAGAAATTTCTATTGAGTACTCTTTGTAAGTTAAACATGTTCATAGCTAAATATTAAATTTTGAGGCCGATATTTACTTCAAATAATTATAATATCTTCAATTAACCACTTACTAACTTACATTTTAACTTAAAATACACAAATTAAGTATAAATAATTATTACTTATTCTTTTTTTATTACTTATTTAAACTGTTCTGACACATGACATTTCTAAAGCCTGTAGCTTTGGAGTTGAAATTAATAGAAACTATCTTTATCGCAGATTTTGCATATACATCGACCAGATGGGTTCTTTTCTTAGATTTTGCCACAGAGTTTTACTCCTTTATTTAACGTTTTGGTCTCAAATGAGACTGTCAGGCGACTTTCGCTCCATCTACGAAAATAGAAAACAACTAACAGACAGAGAAGAAAGTTTAAAAAAACATTTTTGTTTAAGTCTTTGAATTTAACAAATGCATAACTTTGTGCTCATAATTTGACCTTCGCAGTTTGCAGAGTTTTGGATAACATAAAATGTGAATTAAAATTCAGTATTAATTTAAAACTGGAGATTTTCAAATGTAAAAGTTTAACAAGCATTGGCTCAGTTTGAACTAAATATTAATTAAAGAATAACACTGGAAAAAGGCTAACGCCAGTTAACGTGTATTTCTCAGAGCTGGGTTATAAAATAATATAACGGTCAGCATCGCTGCAAAACTTCTCTCTTTAACTTTCGAGAAATCCGTTTCTATACACAACGTACCTCGCCTATAATTTGTAGAGAGGTAGAGATAAGTGGAAGTGATAGCGTAGTTTAAATAACAAGAAAATGAAATAAAGTAAAGAAATAAAAAGTAGAAAAAACTGAAGTCTTTCAGAGTTTACATTACGCCCAAAGGGAACTTTTTTTAAAAAACGTTTTGGGTGTAACATTTATTTATTAAATATCATGTTCTTCGAAGTTAAGCCACCAAACTCAAATCAACAGCAATATAAAAAATAATTGAAAAAGGGCATATCTTTAGAAATTTCGATACACAGTCTTGAGGGCTGGAAATAAAGGTGTTTTTTTTTTCCGTACAGTGTTGCAATCGCTTGCTTTAAAATCTCCGTTTATCAAAAATTCGTTTAAGTTTTACAAAATATGAAATAGATAATAAAACCAGTTCCAAATTCGGGCTTCCAGATGCCCATATTAGAGTGGAGGACCAAGTTATTCAAAGTTTGATGTCTTTAGATACCTGCTCCGAAAAAATGCATTAAAATCTTTTTAGATTGTAGGAAATGGACGAAATACTATTTTATACTTGTGTTCTGCGTAACTGCAATTTAACTTTAGAAGCTTTAATACCAGTACACATGTTAGTGATAAGTTTATTTTTATCTGGAAGCTCTTTTTTGAGAATATTTAATTGTCTGGTTAAACCAAAAAGAAATGCTAAATTGCAAAAAGAAATCCATGTATCATTAAGTAGCTCGTCGATGGTTTTACTTTTGTGTATCGTGAACATTTTGATTTCATTTTTAAAAATAAAAATCCGGTTTAATACAACTTTCCGACTTAACCAGCTTATTTTTTTATAATAAATAATTTTTCAGTTTTCACATTCAACTTCTTCAAGCTTGAAACAAGCAAGAAAGCAAGAAAGAAATTTACAGTGTTATTATTATTCAAAACTACAGTGTTATTTTGAGAATTTCTTGCTTCTTCAAGCAAGCAAGAAATTCTCAAAATAACACAGCTCGTCCACGGACAAATTTTGCTGTTTTACTTACTGTTTTCATAGCACTATTCATGTGCAAACTTTTGGAATAAAGTGCTTCTTGATGAATAATGCAATGTGTAGTGTCAAAAAAGTTTCCTAAATATTTTTCTTTCTTCGTATTTCTTAATTTAATTCCTATTAGTTTTATTTACTTATTGATACAGATCACTTGGCATATAAGCATACAGTGACAAAGACTAATCTCTGTGTGACTAAAACTTTTCCGATGACAACATGTCAGCGGTGAATCTCTGACTGTGATGATCCGTGGTGTCTGAGCAGAAAAGTTTAGTCTAGTTATACTCCCTTGAGGAGAGTCTGGGCTGGATGTTCCGGAACCGACCACTTGTTTGAGAGGAGACATGGAATCTGGTCTGGCCTTCTGAGAGGGTGGACTAGCTAATAATTCCTCAGCCCATATCGGCCCCTGCGGGTTGGCGTTAAGGTTACTTTTAGTGGCTCGTCATTTTAGTGACACTGTAGCCCAACGGTTACTCTTCATGTCACTGATTCACATCTGCTCGGTTTTCATTGACTTGAGTAGTAGTTATGGGTTGACTTATTGCCTCTTCTTGTCACCAGTATACCTCTGCTCCGTTTTTGCGAGTGACTTGAGTAGTGCTCAAGGATTGACTGACTTGTTTGGCTCTATTTCGCTTGTCGACCATTGTGTCTACTTTGATTTTGGCAAGTAGATTTGAATGGACACCACAGGTCGTCTTACCAAATTAGCTCTGGTGGGCTTATGTGTTACGTGTTGTATTTACGACATTCAAAGGTTACATTTAGTGGCTCGTCATTTTTAGTGACGATATAGCCCAACTGCTATCCGGCGCATTCTCTGACACAGACCCCACCCTGTTATGAGCCTTGGGCTGGGGTAATTGTGGGATTTAACGTAAAGAAATGGCTACCGTTATTAGGTTACAATCAAGGCCTCGTCACTTGAATGGTCGAAAAGCCACAAATTATCATTTAGTGACTCGCCACTTTAGTGATGCAAAATCCTCACGGTATCTATGACTCGTCATCGTAGTGACGCTTTATAGTAAAATACATTTGGTTATTTGTTCTTAATCGTCATGACGATCTTACACCTATACATTAAAGCTATCAGCATGCGTAGATTCCGGAGGGATTACCTCTAGATGTCCTCCTCTTTGCTGGGTCCAAATAGGGCACTATTCTCAGAGCCACCAACCTGTAGCGTCTGTACGGGCCTGTACGAATTACATCCCGGACGTCACTATTAATCTCTAATAAATATGTAATAGTGCACAGTGAGGGTGACGCTCCAGTTCTCTGTCCCTGTTACTAAAACTATAAATATAGTATTCACAACATAATTATTATAGCAATTATTACAGAATTGTGATACAAACAACATAATTACTACGTAACAAAAATGTGCTTATGAGTCTCGTAGTATTGCTTCAGGAACCGGATGCGTCCCGCGGCCAGTTTGAGACATTATCTTAGTTGGTTGTATTGTTTGTCTTAGATGTTTGTATTTTGCTCAAGGTATGCAGTCAGTTAGGTTTACTCTAACTCAAACAGTAATCTGTAAAAGGAATTATCACTGGACTTTGTTGTTGCTTGTATGATTAATAGAAACATATTCCTTTCCTCTTAGGCTTTCCTGTTGGCTTCCTTAGCTGTTCTTAGCAGTGGAACTCCAGCTGTTCTTAGGCCCGCGTTTTACAGTCAACCTGCTCCTGTAATCGTGCCAGTACGATATACGGTAAGTTTATCTTTTAAGAGTTATTTAAGATGACTGATTTGCTTTCCTCAATTTATGAATGCTAACGAACATGTATTTTAGCAGACAAAATTTTATTATTTTGATGGATAAGTTTTTAAAACTTTTTGGATACTTTGATATTAAAATTTGTCTTTTTGGAAAAGATCGGTCATATTTACTTTGCATTAGTATCTGATAAATTAGGCGCAATTTTAGGAGCAATGAGTGTTAAAATTTAATGCTTTACTAGCTATTAAACTTTCATGATAATGCTGTAATAATGTAAAGTTATTCATAATTCAATGAAATATTTCAAAATTTATAACAAATTATTGGAATCAACTTTCGTTGCATTGAAAGAAAGGGAAACTCACCAAGTGATTTTTTTTACATATTCCGAAACTGATCTCAAAGTACCTACCTTTATTAATACGAAAAATGTTTACACGATGTTACTTCTCAAACTAGTAGCAGTACGTCAGGATCAATTAAATCGTTAATACTGCTGAGAAAACTCTGGAGATTAGCGGAAATGGAGATAAAGGAATAGTTTTTTAAAAGCATCCCAAAAATTGTTGTAGGAGACTAAATCCGAAGACTGGATTAGCCATCGAATTAACTCATCATCTTGTAGTCTTGTGCCCTGCCCACTTTAGTGGTCAATTTTAATTGAGATATTTTAGCAAATAACCTTTACTTCAGTGAAACACCATTCAAAATAATATTTTGATTAAAATGTGAAAAAAATCCCTCGAAAAAGAAACTGTGTCTGATAGGCTTCAAAGTTCACAGAGTTTTATTTCCCCGTCTACTCCAATTAAGGTTTCCTTTTGCTTTAATTTTAAATGCATATCATTTGCTGCGAATAGTACATCAATGGGATACTCAAATTCTAGTTTTACTCTATGAAACTGATCCTCAAGGAATACTATTTTGAATCATTTGCTTGATACAGAACATTCTGTGCGTTTGTATGATATATGATCTTATGCGAACAGATAGTCATTTGCTGGATTTGCAAAATTTAGCACCTTGAATTTCGTCAAAATACAACATATTTCTGCAGATATGATTTGAGGTGACAAGTAAATGTGGAAGGTATTGATATGATACATATCACGGATTGTCCCAGATATCCAAACATTTACATTAAAATTTTCTGATCTAAGTATGAATGATATACTAAAAAAGATGTATGATTTCATCTGATATCTTCCAATAGACACTTTTCCCTTCATGCAGCATTAGTATTATCTCCATAAGTTTCATAATGCATTGAAACCTAATGCAGGATGTGCTCCTAATAGCTTCATTTGCATAGTAAACTGAATTTCAACAAATAAAGTCACAAGTTGTACTCGTACTTCTTAGTATGTACCCATTTCAAAGATCATTTCGAGCTTTTCTCTCATTAGGAAATATTAAAGCAAGGTATATTAGTATAAGTACACGTATGGACATGATTTAGTAGACTGCAAAATAAGTAAAACAATTAGCTGAAAACTATGCTTCGTAGGAGTTTTTAGAAAAAACAAACAGTTCTTTTTTTTTTTTTTTTTTTTTTTTTGCAAGCAAGATTGCCTTGCAGTCGTAAATTTTGTTTATCTATCCAGATGCTCCCCTTCTCTTTTCTTTCTGAGACTGAGTTTAAAGTAGATTATTTTCCATTTAACATTGTAGAGACATTACATTTTATTAAAGCATGAGACGTGAAAAATGAGCAGTGTAGTCGCCTGGACCTCTCGAACACGCACCGAATGTGTTACCGTTACTCCACGAACGCACACGGAAAGGAGGGAGAAGATGTCTTATAACTTTAAGAATTAAAACATCTGCAATTAAAACAATAACGAATATAACGAAACGATATCCAGGAATTAGGTTTTTCTGTTTACATCTTAACAAGCAATATTTACTTATGAAGTACTCAACACTTATTATTACACCACACTCAACAGTAACAGAATGCAATTGAGGACAGTTAATCGTCCATCTCTATAAGTTGAAATAGACACAGAAGAAGAATTAATAAAGTCTTTTAAAATCAGTCCAGATCATAGAATACCACTCGAGACTAAGTTCGTATGCAATTAAACAGTTTCTCTTGTAGAGACATTTCGATTTTTTTTAAGCAGGAGACGACAAGATATAGGCTTCCTCTTACCGTCAACTTAATGACACAAAGAGTTCCATCTCCTCGTAGAACCAGGCACAAACGATCAATCCCTGTCCTCGCACCTGCTGCATCGTTTTTGCGGCACCGATCGTTGTGTATCATTTGCTACCTGTCGGTCGCTTGGGCTGCCCATTGCAGAGAGACATCATCGAGCGTACCCGGGACGCCACCCAGGACTACTAGAGTCGTCAGCTATAGGACCTGTCAGACCCACTGGCCGACCAATAAGTGATCTTTCCAGGGCTTCAGAACCACAAGGTTCATAATTTGTATTCCTCTGCAGCCGAAACTGCCTAGGTACAGATCTTAACCAGTAGCTTCGCAGAGTTTTTTATGTTGACTCCTGGGAGGAATCATGCAAGAGACGTGAAAAATAAGTAATGCTCTTGCCGGTATTCGAACTTGGACCTCTCGAATGCGCGCCGAATGTGCTACCACTACACCACAAAAGCATGCTAGAAGGAGGGAGAAAATACCTTATATTCTAATAAAACACCCAGTACTTTATTATAGCCTAGTAGCATCAGTTTAAAAAATCTGTTTGGCGTATGATTTTGAGACAATGTAACACTTGATAATGAATGATGATTATTTAACCAAATATGCTGTTTAATCCTCACATGAAGCAAATAAAGTGAGAGGTCATTTCCTGTGGCACATAAATTAACTTTTAGAGGAGATATGATAACTATTCTTACAATCTTCCGTAGAGGATAATGCACATGTAAAGAATACTTTGTGGGATTTTCCACCGTGCGCCCTTATTATATTTTATTTTTGTTACAATTATTCATTAAGAATTTGTTTCGTTAATGTAGGCACCAGTGGTTTTGAAAGAATCACCGAAACCCTACAGCTTCGGCTACGTAGCTCCAGCAAGTGGAGGAGGAAGTTCTCGCCAAGAGACGTCCGATGGCAATGGCCGGGTGACAGGATCTTACACTGTGACGGATGCGGATGGACGCGTGCGAGTAGTGGACTACTATGCCGATGAGACTGGATTCCACGCTAATGTGAAAACAAATGAGCCTGGAACTGCTAACCAAGATTCTGCTGACGTTTCTGTGCAGTCATATGCTAACACGGCACATTCAGTTGCTGCTGCTCCTGTTGTTGTGGAAGAGAAAGCCATTGCACCAGCGCCTCTGGTAGCAGCTCCTCGTGTTTATGCAGTCGCGGCACCACCTGTGAGGACAATCACTAGACGGTAAGAATAATGTTCTTGGGAAGATTAATTAATATCAACAATCATTAACAATGAAAAACATTTTCTTTGGAAACACCTTATCTATGGTAACAATCATAACACGTTATCATAAATCATAGGCTGAAAAATTCAATGAATTTACGGTTTTTTTTTATGTGCACTTCTCAATGCTTACGTAAACTAATGAAGAGAAAGAACGTAATTTGTTGAATTACTTGAAGAAATCATTATTACCATCTTCATATAATAACAAAACAGCAGGCTTTATGAAACAGTTTTATAGCTTTCTCCCAAAGTTTCATTACAGTTGAAGAAACTTGCGGATTTTCCACTGTATTTCATTTTTTAATGTTTTTTTCACTGCAAGCAGTCGTTATTGCTGAAAAAGAACTAAAGGACCACAGAGAGAGAAATCATAACAATTTCTTCTTTCTCTACATTAGCTTCGGCATTAAATTATGTTGTTATTGCAACATATAAATCTGTTTTCAGCTTGAACTAAAGAAAATAATTCAGTTCAAGCTTAAACATTAATGCAGATACAACATACGAGAAGTGTTTTCCTATCGTAGATCGTAAATCTTCCTTCGTAGTGAAATAATCGGCCTTTGAAAGGCCTTCCATATAATCTCGCAGTTCCTTAGGCATTCAAAAATAGAGTCTATAGAACGGAAAACAAGTCGACAGGTATATGCAGTGATCCTTAGATACTTGCTATTATTTTGGTATGCAGCGCAGAATTCCTATCCCTGCTCTTTCCAGATTCCTGAGTGAATCCCGAATAGGGCCTAACGTCTGAGGAAGTCTGTAAATATTAGTATTTATTCTGTATCTGAGGTATAAGCTGAGTACACAGAAACTGGTTACCTTCTGAAAAACTTATTTGATTTGTAAAACATTTTAGTTTTTAATCCGTTTAAGAGATTTCAGTAGTCTATGCGGCTGCATCTCTAATCCAGGTAATACCATGCTTACTATTATTGCGAAGCAATGACAATCTGAGAATATTGCTAATTATGTTCTTTATCGTGATCCTGATATTATGAAAATCTTTCCCCATGATACGTCAGAGGTGTTGATTTATTACTTTCTTTTATGCAACTGCATAGTAAAATATTGATTTTTCCACAGAGCAAAAAAAGCCAAACATTTATATGAAAATTTAACTATATATTTATTTATTACGTAACATTTTAAAATTATTCTATGCAAAATGCGAAAAATTCAAAACACGTATTAATTCTTATACCTTTAAAAGTAGAGAAAATTCCAAACTGTGTAATACAAGTGATTAAAACCTGAGTGTTTGTTCATGATATGATATCAGCACCTTTAGCAGAAATAATTTGAAAGTAGTATCATCGTTCGGCAATAGATGGCAGCACTAGAAACTTGTACTTCTTAATTGCATTTCCTTGGAGTTGGTTGTTAAAATCACCTTAAATATACCAATGATTTTCGTATACTAGTTTATTAAAGTAAGCAATTAAAAAAAATAATTTGGTTTTGAAAATGTGATTTAAAACCAAAATTCTAGGAATTTTTAAAAAATTTTAAATATTGTAATATTCGAAAATTTACATTGATATTTTCAAAGGTTCATAAAATTGGTATTTAAATAAGATTTTTACATTTTTATATAATGTGGAATATATGAGTACAAATAAATTATTCTTTCAGTCTTTTATTATTTAATTAGAGCTATGACAATATACAGAAACTAGGGGGATAAAATAATCTCTACCAGTCCCTTAATCCGAATTCTTTTACCTGCACTTCAGGAAATTCCAAATAAAGTGTTATAATATTAGAATTACAACATAAATAATTAATTATGAAGAAAAAATATTAAGAATCAATTAACGTTATAAAATGTTCTTAAATTAGTTTTTAAACTGTTCAAGTCGAATAAATACGAAAAGGATTAAACTTCTGTAAGTTTTCAAAATCAACGTAAGGTTGTAGATATGGTACGTGATAATGGTTTGCTTTAAATGGTAATTTCGTTTAAGTACGAAGATTTGAGAGAAGGATATAATATATGTGAAATCCTCGTTTGGAAACGTTATAGGTCTTTTCCGAGAACAACTATTGTTGTGACTAATATGTCGTGACTTATCACAGAGGCGCAGAATTAGGTCTGCTACCGGCATAGGTTTCGGACATACTGCAGCCGACGGTAAGACATCCATCTCAATTTCGAAGGGGAACCAATCGGGGTCTATAGCATTCCTTACTACTAGACAAACCTCGTGAGAGAACTTTTAGCTCTCCATGTAATTTAAGCACCCTTGTCCCTCAAAGGCCTATCACATTTACAAATGTTCAAATCTTCTCCGCGATTTGAGCCTTTTTCTCAACGATGACGGCATCCAGCATTACTAACCGATCAGGGCAGCTAACGTAATTGACTGAAAATGTTTCATAATTTGAAATGCTTCATAATTTCATTCAATTTGCAAAAATGTTTCATAGTTTCATTCAATTTGCGAAAAAAGGATTCCTATCAGCGTCCAAACCTTTAAAGAGAAGAAGTATTGCTAGGTCCACCAGCGGCAGAGAGGTAAAAGCCTCTGAATATGGTCCGGGGTTTAGGTCCCGGCGACCGGACTGACTGCATGGGCGTTTTCGTGGTTTTCCCCATGCGTAACGTGGATCCGAGCCAGTTTCCCTTAAAACGGCCTCCATAGGGCATCTCTCTCTTTCTGTGTAGGGCCTAAGGGTACGTAATACTTGCTAAATTGGCTACAAATCTGCTATTCTGCTGTTTCAAATGTAAACAAACATGTCCACCCTGTTATTTAAAAATTAGGCTTAACCGCACTTAAACAGCTTTTAAATTGTGATAATTCTTTTCTATTGTTTGCAGATTTCCTAAAGGCATTAAAAAAAAAGAAATCTTGCTATTCGGCCGCCCAGACGGTGTAGCGGTTAGGGGAGCCGATTGCGTTACCAAATGGTCCGGATTCGAATCCCAGACATCTCATGGTTGTATTTGTTCGTCCCTTCATTTGAGGCAAAAGTGGTCCACCTATTTGGTGCCTCCATAATAAAGTGACCACCGCTTTTGGCCTTAGTAGCGTACAAAGTCTGTGGATGGTTTGAGCCCGCCATTGGGGAAAAAAAATATTGCTATTCTAAGGTTGGATTCTAGGTGAGTGCCCGGGTTAGGGTTTTTGTAGCTTCCCTCATATGGGACAAAATCGGATTAGTTATTCTTAAAAAAATCCTCCACAAAAATATGTCTTCCTATAGACAGATATTTTGTGTGTGGTTTGCCAAAATTAACCGACACATCCACTCTGAGAAGAGCCACAGAAGCCTAAATTGTAGCTTATTACTTACTTAAGCTTATTAAGTAAATCTCGGCCATTTAAAATTATATTAAGTTAGATGTCACGTGTGCAAATAATTATGTACCTATTACACATAATGTTTGATTATGATAATGACAGTTATCGTTTGATGAAGTGTTAAGAATTTTAAAATATATAACTGTTAAAATGTGTTAAAATATTTTAAAAACTGATATCACTCAGAGTTTAATCCCGCTTAAAGAAGGTCTGTAGTGTGTCGAGTAGAGAACCGCTGGCTGGAAATTTTAGTGATTTTTTCTGCGTACCGTGAACAGAAGACAGTTCCATTAAATAGTCATCCAGAAAGGCATCAATTCCTCTGCAGACAGACTCTTGTGTGCTTTTTTTTAATAAAATGAATCGACCCATCCCTTAACCAAAATGGAGAAACAAACTATAGAAACTCCGAAGGTCTATCATTTTCAATTTTTTTGAATGAATTTTTTTCTCATATTCTCATACTCAAAGCACAAATACACATTTCCTAATGCAAACAAGTGATTTCTCGACGCTTGTTTACGAACATGGCCCATAAATCTTTGCCTTGGAGATGGCTTTTATGTATTCATACTCATGGAGGAACTGTCAGTTAAAACTGCATTGTACTGAAACACTTCTTGAAGAATGAGTGAACTGAAAACACGTAGATTTCAACGAAGAATTAAAAACAAAATGCATCTCAATGGAAGTTTTGAGATTCTGAGAGGAATGGCCCTTCATTGCCATCAAAGACGGCTGGAAAATAATTTTCAACAGTCGCTTAAATGAATCCTATCACTAAACATAGCACCTTTTAAAAAATTAAAGTTGCGCATTAATTTTCACGTTATTTAAATTAAATGCGAGTTGGAAAGAAAAGTGATGAAGCTTATTTATGTGTGTGACTTATCTCACTTGTCTGACAGTAACATCAGAACAAGCCCACGAAATTCATCCTGGCAAGGCGTGCAAGATTGCACCTGTCGTTGGCAAAAGCCTTGAACACACAGGTGACAGTACGACTCTACTCAGTTCCGCCCTCAATTCTGATGGAGAGCATCCCGAGGGGGCGAGTCCAGAGGTCTCTCCTCCCTCTTTCCCTACCAACCCTCGAGAAGATGGTGATCTTCTCGAGAGGACTTTCGGCTCGCCGCATATTTAGAGTGCTCTCCTGCCACACAGACACTACACATTTGCAGATATCCATGCCTCCTCCGGTTTTCTTCGGTACGGCAATCAGTGTCGCTAACCGGTTGGGCGGCATAATTAATTTAAATGCAATCAATATGTTAAGCAAGTACGAAACTGAAATACCAGAGGAGCTCATAGAATGCTTGAAATATTGAAAGCGAATACCACTTTATATTAGAGTGTTAGCTATCTCACATCATTCAGCAAACGTTGCACTGAAAACTAAGATTAACACATTTCTGAAGTTAAGAGTAAATAATAATCAAGATGGGGTTTCTCATTCAACTGCTAAGGGATCAATCAAGGAATAGTATAAAGAACTAAAAATTTAATAACCATAAGTACAATGCTCTTTATTTTGTATGAGCACTAATGTGTAACACTTACCATTTCAACTCTAACTTTTCCACTGAATTCGTAATACTTTCGTATCAGAATAAAAACTGAAAAGTCGTTAAAGGAATCATACTAAGTTGGAGGCTGTCTGTAATTTCGATCAAAAATTCGTCGAGAGTGCTTACTTACAGATCACTGATGAAAATTGTTTCAAGTTGCCAATGAATTATTTTTTTAATTTATTCCTGTGTTCAAAAGGTTCGTGGGAAATACTTGTAGGCTACTTTTATCCGTAATGTAAAAGATGATTATTCAGTCATATTAGAAATAACGGCCATCAGAACATATATATTTTCTTCTGTGTTTCTGACAATCCTTGAATCATTGGTACGATGTCTCTTTAGTTACCTGTAACAGAAATAGCCGTCGTGTCTTTTTCGATAACTTGAATTACATCTACATCTATCTTGTTAAAACAGCGGAGTCAGAAGTTGAAAAATCTGGTCACCAAGATGATTTTGGCGTAACAGAGGTTTATTTCTCATCAAAGAAATCAAGCTGTTTTGTTCTAATGCCCACTGCTCAAACTGTGATATCAGTGCCGAATTGCCTAAAGATGTTTGAAGTCCTCTTGTACGGCACGATGTCACCTGATTCTCTATGGAATAATGCCATCTAACACATAAATTCAATTACAGCAAGTTTCTTGCGCATAACTATAATTATCCGCGAATGTTTTAAACAGAAAAATATCTGCATTGTAATCCATTATTGAAGGGAAAGTAAATAGTCTTTTATATTTTCCTTTACATTCCAAACTAGCTACCCGGCATGCGTTGCAATGCTACTTAAAGAAAGTATCAGTGCTTTAATTATGTTTATTGAAGTTCAATTCTATGTAAATCAGCTCGCAGTATTCGTCTGAATTGAGCAGTGCGTACACGAACTTTTTCCAGTCTTGCTTCCCGTTGCTCGTCTGTCTCAGAGAAGGCTTAAGCAGTGCTTAGTCGAACGTCTTCTATTCTTGTTTCCCGTTGATCGTTTGCTTCATACGAACGGTCTTGAAGAGTATGTACTCGAACGTTTTCCAGTTGATCGTTTGTTTCTGAAGCTCTTAATGCCTTTTTTTTTCGTGCTCGAGGTGTAGATTCATTTTGGTGGCATAATTAATTTCACAGCGAAAGTAATACTTTGTGACGATACAAATTCACTTTCAAAAGGCAAAAAAAAATGCGTGTTATGCTATAACAGGCATGTTTATGCATGCGGGTTAATGCACGAAAAATTAAACATTTTACGCTTTGCTGAACGATAACATTCTTTAAAATATTTTAATTTAGGCAATGGCAGCACATTTCTCTTAAAGAGCCGAATTTGTTGATTAAATTCGAGACAAATTAATAGAACTGTGTTTTCCCTAGTAGCAATACAATTTTTTTTATATCACCGAGTATTCTGATAAAATTTGAAATATCACGCTTTGCAGAGTGGCAACGGCGACCTTCTTGTTTTGAAGGTCGAGTGTGACAAGTTTAAGATCGGAATTAAACTATGGATTTATATGAAAGACAAACAAACAAACGCGCATTTTTTTATGTATACATATAGAAATATTAGCTCAATAAAACTTAATCTATGAATTCATTAAATGATGACTTTTTTGTTGTTCTAGGGTCGTGTCTCCTCTTCCGGTAACTTATGCTGCAGTGCCAACTTACCGCACTGTGCGGTACACACCAGTATCTCGTACGTATGGAGTCTACAATAATGGCTATATTACTCACTCGCACCCCACTCATTACACTGCTTTCCCACCTTTTCCAGGATCAGCAATCTTGAAATAGACTACTTCTTCGCATGGATGAATGATATGGAATATGGAACTGATCTATAGCGAAAGCTAAAAAGAATATTTAGGACAATAAATCAAGCATCATGTAGATAGATGTCGGATTCACCAAGGAATATGTAACCATTTCAATTATACCTTTTCGGGGGGGAATATAGAGAGTGTTTAAAAATAAATGTTTCCTATTTTAGCTTTATAAATAAAACTGCAAAATCTGTATAGTAGATTTTTTTTTAATTGAATATTCTTTCAAACGAATGGTAGTAACTATTAACATTATTACTTCATAATAACATTATTTCAACGTAATAATAACCTCTGTTACTAAATAAGGAAGCATTTGTGCGTATGCAGATATGTTCACCGCAATATGAAATACGGCGTCACTTAGAGCCCCAAATTTCAGACCCATTTGGTCCAAAATTTGGTGGCTCAACACCTTCAAGCTGCCACCTGAACATGTGCAGCTTGGAACCCGAAACTTTGAGTTTTGACAGTCTTTTTTATTTATTTCTTATACTACACAAATCTAATGAATTTTTGATTTTCAAACACGGCGAGCAAAGACAGCACTGTTCGAAATAAAACATTTTTATTTCCAGCATGCAAGACTTTTGCCATTCGGTAAAATGTGACTTTCACTTTTAGTCAACAAACTCGGATGATCCTCGCTAATCCTCTCACTAGAATCCCACACCTTGCACCAACTACTCAGAAATTTCGAGCACGTAAAGCTAGACTTTTTCCCATACTTGTTCTAAATAGTATTCTTTCTTTAGAGAACGAACTACTCCTTTGTATTATACCTGCCCTACCTAGCCATACCAACTGGAAGCAACTACATACTTCAAAATGTTGTTCTACGTCATAGAGGCAACGCTTTATAGTACGTGCGTAGCAACAGAATCCATGAGGATCTGAACATGTTCAAATCCGAAATAGTTACTATAAAGTGGTCGAACTGTTTCATGAAAATTCTCGTTTAATTGAAAATAAATACATAAAATGCATTTATTTATAACGTATAAGACTTAGGTAATTTAAAACGCTCGAAGGCAATTCTTAATGAAAGATATTTGTGAATGAAGATTCTTAATGAACATATATTTGTGTCTACTCCTCTAGAGAACTCTTTGTGAACCTTTGTTTCGACACTTTATTGATTTCTGTTCACAAACACTCTTTAGAAATAAAATTCGACTAGGATAGCTCCTCGGCAACAGATAACCTGGTATTGTACCATTTTACTCCGATATAACTCGGCTATTTAGAAGTAACGTGTTGCCACTGCCTAAAAAAAATACTTTTACCTTCCACCCCGTCCTAGTCCTGCCATTCTAAAAAGCGTTAAGATATTTAACTTTTAAATTTAATTTGTCTGTTACTGATTAAAAACCAAGCTATTTTACAGCGCAATATATATTTTAAAGCAAGTACAACAAACGCAATTCTTAAGAATTCATTTTATACTTTTAATCTGACGGATTTAAATTATGAAACTTCTAATTGGAAATATTAACTATTTTTATGAAATGAAATAAGCTAGCTCACTAACTTAAAATAATTACACATTTGTTTTTTTTAATATTACTTCAGGCAGCTAGCTGCGCAAGTGACGATTAATATAAGTAATTATAATAATTATTATAATAATTTAAAAAATAAGTAAAAAATATACAACAATAATAATAAATATAAGACAAACATTTAATGCTGATAATTATAATAATAATTTAAATTGGAAAAATTGTACATAAGACAGCTGCGTCTTACGATTTTGAAAATGACAGTGATAACATAATTATGCTTTAAATTTAATAATCGATGCGGATTCATTTTTGGAAGGATCCTTTTTAAGAGGAATATGGAAACAGAAAGAAAATTTTGAAGAGATTTCATCATCTCCATATTCAGTTTTTGAGAATTTAAATTTGGGTTGTACTATTTTGAGAAGATATTCGAAATAGCAAACATTTTTAGTTTTATTCTGTATTGAATATATTTTTAACGTTTCTTTATATATACTACATCTCGTTCATTTCTAAATCAATTTCATTGCAAGTTTTGATACTTTTGAACTAACGTTGAACGAAAAAATACATATATTGCACGATGCTCAAAGATACATTGTACGAGGTACATTATGCATAATGCACGAGAGAGAAAGAGAAGACACTAATTTAATGCTAATTTAAACCTAAAACTATGATTTTAAAACTGTGACACGAAAGAATTCACGAAAGTATGAAAACATATTTAAAAATCGAAGAATTATTCCTCTAACCTCAAAACAAAAATCAGGAAAATTTAAAAATAATTCCTAAGGAAAATGTGAAAAATAACTAATATATTGTATAATATAAAAACTGTTGTAAAGTGTTATTAAATAATCTAGTTAAAATTATCTTCATAAATTGATAACTAAATTATATATTCCGCAGTACAACTTTATAATTCGAAGATGGTGTTGGTGTATTTAATTATGGCAAAGCACATTAGGGCTATCTGCCTAAGGGGAAGGGATGCCTTTCGTGGAGGACTTTCTAAGGGAAACTGGCTCGTATACACGTTACACATGGTGAAAACCACGAAAACACCCATGCAGCCAGCCCGTTTGCGGGATTCGAACCTAGGACCGAACTACCAGTGTTCAGCGACATTACCGCTCGGCCGCTGGTGGGCTTATAATTCGAAGAGAAAGATGGCTAAAGACTGCTTGGCAACAACAGCGTAATTTTATTTAAATTGAAAATAGCTATATTGCTTTGAAACTTTAAAAGAAACTGAAGGATTCCTGGAAATTTCTAGTATTTCAAAAAATCTTATCTTATTCAGGTCACAAATTAACAATGTTGATTAGGAAGGAACGTTTCCTTGTTGTTAGGAACTGTATACTGATGGAGATGTCATTGCTTGGAAAAAGAATTTGCGTAGCATCTTGGATTAGACACGTTTAGGCCAATTCGAAATCGAGGAAGATCTGCATATAACAGCTTTTTAATTTATTATGAATTGTAAATGGTTTTAAGAGAATTATTATTCTTTGAAAGTTCTGAAAGATTATGAGATATTTCATGTGGTTCGAATTCTAAAATTTATATTGTGCAACGTCATATCTAAGAACGAACGATATTGTAAAACTGTAAACAATGTAAATAATTTCATTTTGTCATTTGTTTCAAATAATGTGGTTTTAATTTGAGTATTTACAATCCATCATTAGCCATGGTTTTGCCATTCAGTGCTTTACAACATTTTGTGAATACTATTTTAATATGATGATGGCTTTCAGAACTCTCCATATGTTTACATATTAAGTAAATCTTTATTAGAGATGAAATTAAAAAAAAAAAAATTCCGGAAGTTTTCAGATTTTATGTTACGCTCAAAGGGTGGTTTTTTAACGTATGCTACCTTAATAACTTATCAAATTTAATAATTTTAATTTAATTTAATAATTTAAGTTTAATTTAATAATTTGAATTTTAAATTTAATAACTAATTAAATATCATGTTCTTTGCACTTAAACCACATAAAATTCAATTCACCAGCAATATCACAAAATATTTAAAAACAGCATATCTTTAGAATTTCAGATACACAGTCTCGAGCGCTGAAGATAAAAATATTTTTTTCCGTACATTGCTCGCTTTGAAATCGTGAAATGAAATGAAAAAAAAAAAAAAAAAGAAAAGAAAAGAAAAGGAAAAGAACCCGATATGTACTCTAAGAAAAGCTAAGGTAAATGGCGTAAATTTTATTTTAACAGAAGTTACCTGGTATGAGTATCTGATGTTTATACTCAAAAGCGTTGCTTGAAACTCATTTCAAAAATGGCGCAAGCATAATTTGTGAATCAAAATTTAAAGAAAGTGGGAAAAACCACATCAGCGGATGGTTCAACTTTTAAAATTTTATTTATGTAGTCTAGAAACAGGTTTGGAGTCCGACCTAGTGTTAGGTAGTTTCACGAATTCAGAAATGCACATGGTATAAATCTCATATAATGCATTATAATGTGTCTTTTAAAATGATTAGTGACTCCTACTCTTTGAGGTTATGTTTTTTTTTAGCTGAACTTCTATGCAGACAATTTATAAGGGTCATATTGCCGATGACCTGAAAAAAAATTTCGCTTAATTCTAAGCTCGGAATCGGAATCGGAGGTAAAACAAGACTCTTATCATTTTAACGTTATCTCCTTAGAATTTAAATTTTTCTTGTCAACATTTTATTCAAAAAATAATATAAAGTATTCATTCTCATATTACCTTCATAATTGGAGGAGTTTTACTATGTTATCTAAAGAAAAATTATAGAAACAGAAAAAATGCTCGAACTCGCTGTCAAAGTACCCTTTTAGCAGTTTCAATTCAAACATTAAGAAATTTCTAAAGTATTAAATCTTATCGTACTTTACACAAATTTTTATTAATTTTTATGATAAGTTTTAAAAGTTTTCTTTTTTTGTTAATGTAACCATGCGTTTTGGGAAAGAAGAAAATTTCATTTTTTACTTCCTTGTACGGAACTGTAATCGTGAAAAATTTCGGGTATCATATTTCAACGAAAATGTCCATTTTGACTGTTATTTAAAATAATTTAACGATGTTTTTGCGTGACATCTGTGAATACGGATATGATAAAGGACTCTTTTTCCCAAAACGGATTGTAAAATGGATTTAAATTGGATTCAGAACAGATTTCTTCATGACATCTCTACGTACGTACGTGTACGTATGTATGTATCTTGCATAACTCAAAAACGAATAGCCTCAGAACTTTGAAATTTTGTACATGAGACTGATATAACATATAGTTCTGCACCCTACGTTTTGGTTACAATCGGGAGCACCAAAAGTATGTCTCTCTCTATATATACTCTGTGCATATTCTATATAGATACATGTTCTGTTACCCGGGTCGGTGAGCTATCTTTTTTATTCGTATATGTTGGCAAAGGGCGCATTTTTTTGCTTTAAATGTAATAGAATTATGCTCTCATGTTCCGGTTTAGGTTTTTATGCCTTTAGTTAATCTGCATGCAATAGTTATAAAATTATCAATAATTTTAAACTTAAGTGTTACTAAGCATAACGAAGTCGCCCTTTGTTTACATTTAAAACTCTTAGTAGAATAAGGAATTAAGTCAGTTTCTGGACCAACTTCAGTGTCGTTTTGCCGAGTGGGACCGAAAGTAAACTTTCTGTTTTATGCACCGAA